AAGCTGGGGGTTTGTCCCCAGCCAGTTTGTAGCAAGGCTGACCTGAGAAGCTGTCAGTACCTGTCCTTGTACATATATCCTACATTCTGTAAAAGTAGAATTGGTAGCTTATTGCATCACCTGATTGAAGCCAAAGCAGAGCTTAAACTAATATAAAATTTGCTGTGAAGTATGGTACAGAGATTGTAAATTTCAAATATAATTTAAAACATGTTTGAAAATTAGGTGCAGTATTTGAGCACTAAAATATCTCAGCAGAAGCTTCCTGGGATCTAATACTTTAAAAAAATACAAATTAATCAATTCAGCTGCTACATTGACAGAAGTTTCTTGTCTCCCAATATTACAAAAAATGCTTATAAATGTATTTATAGGTAGGCTAAGCAATAAATTCTGCGGTTCTTGACAAACAAGGACGCAGAAAAGAACTACTGCATGTGGCATGAAATACTGCAGTTGTCTTTATGATGCTCATGTGTTGACTGGCCTGTGAAACAAAGTGTCTGGAAATCACTTAAGACAGACTGGATTTGGGATTTCTTCCTTAGCAAAAGCAATAGCTTTTTACAAGGCATACACCATCTATCACAAACTTTGCATAGGTAGAAAAGCTAAATTCAAACAAAGTCATTAATTTAAATTCCAGCCTCCCAAATCACTTTTCTTCCATTCACAGCTCACCATCAGACTGTTTACAGAGAGAGGAAAATGTTTCGTTGCAAGATGCTGTCTTCCAAAAACCGTCCAAATCTAAGTAGACACAGGCTGTGTTCTTATTTGGTTCTCCGCTGGCCCAGTTATGATACCTGCTCCTCCTTCTATCTGACCATAAGTAATGGCCATGAGTCTAAAAGCAAATGACAATAAAGATTATGCCACATACAAGAAGTAGATTGAAAGTATGTTAAGATTGCACTTGAAAGTATGTAAAAACTAGGAAAAATCAGAATCACAGTTTCTCACACAAAATTAATTTGTTCTCTGTCATGAATACATAACAGTCTGGTCCAGACTTGTACCGTCCACAGAAGTTAGGGCCCTGGATCTACAGATGTTTATTTAGTACACAGCCTATGTTATTCAATTCACACTATCCAGCTCATGCACCACATGGGCAAAGAGCCTTGTGGTAACAAATGGGAATATACAGTTAAAGACTGTATCAAAGCAGTCCACATATACACACAGATCAAATACAGAGTACAGAGAAACTATTGTTAGCGTTTCTCTAACACAGCATTTTCTATATATTCAGGAAGCAAATAGAAAAAGCAGAAGTTTCACTGAAGAGTGGAATACTGATGTCACATACCATAGACCTCTGCTGCCCATGCTAACAGGGACTCCAATAAGTTTCTGGTTCTTGCAAGGACCAGTTAATAGCAACAAGCTAAGCATGTATTTTCTTCTGTGGATTTCACCACTGTTTGAAGAGGATGACCAACATGAATCACAGCCATAGCTCCTGTAACCCCACCCTGCACAGCCTAGCCCCTTCTTGCTATGATCTTTGGAGGCAGGCTTCCATTCGGTTCTTTGTGCCAGTTCCTTTCCTGTCATACGGGCTTTTTTTTTAGTCCTTGACGTCATTTCATCTCAGGTTCCTGCCTAATCCAGGATTCCCCGTGCTTGCTCTCACTGAAGTACAGCTGCAGTTCCTCTCATCTCAGCACCTGTGCCTTCTCTCAGTTCTGTGTCCCACCAAGCTCCAGCTCTACCTCTCCTCTTGATTTCCTCACAGCTACAGCTCCACAAATACCCATCTACATCATCTTTTTTTCATGTTTTTGTTTTTTTTAAAAATGCATCTATAGACACTTTCCCTTTCAGACCTTTGCACTCTTTGCTGACTGGGTTTGTTGGCAGTTTTTCACATGGGACTAGCTTCAGCTCCAAAAACCCGCCTAAGGTGTCCCCACTGACAGAGGCCTGCTCCTACCTCTACACTGCACCTTAATATTATGTCTATTGCCCATTACAAGGTCTTGTGAATTAAAGCAAAACTTAAGATACCTTCACAAAGAAAGAACTATTTTTAACCCAAATTGTTTCTGTGGTGTGCTCTACAATGTGTCTTCAGAAATAACAAGGCTCCCCAACATGAGCATGTGATGACTGTGGCATAACAAGTGGAAACTCCATAGCCACTTTTACCACCAAAGCTACTATCTACTACAGCTACATCCTTGGTGGTCTTTGAAATGTGGCTGCGGCAGTGCTCACTTGTAACCAAACTTTTAGATGTGTAAAATCCCTGAAGGGGAGGGAGGTCAGATACCTCAACAAGGTTTTCATGCCTGCCACACATTCATGGATCTGGCTGATAGCATTCACACGAGAGCAAACAGTGCCCACTGCAATGGATCCTGTCAATTTGTGATTAAGAAATATGGCTGATCTATGCTAATCTAGGGTAGTGGTATGATTGTCACAGGCATTTGATGAACTCACATTGTTGCTATTATAACCAATCCATACAGGCTCCCCATGCTTTAATATTTGTAACCACAAGTAGGACTCGACATAAGGATCCAAAATGCTGGCAAGTTCTGCAAACTGGTCTCTGCAGTTCTTCTGTGCTTCTTCCCAGCTCATTTTGTAGTTGATGACTCCATAGCGGTCATCACCATAATTGTTAAATCCAAACATTGGGTCTACGGGTTGGGAGTTTTGCAGTTTAGGGTCTGCAACAAGCAAACAAGAAGTAAAACACTTTATGTTGGCTAGACGTATAACAATGAGAGAAGATTTACTGTACTTGAGTAGTCAAATAATTAAGAGAGGCTGGAATAACAAATTAAGATGTGTGCCAGCTACCACTGCAGTGATGAAATCCATGTTTTCATGCTCTGTGGCAAAATTTTCTAATTCTTGTCAGAATGACTTTTTAATGTAGGTATGCATCTCTCCTCTGGGAACATGCCTTGTAAGCTCTAGCTGTTCCCAAAGCATACTGTAATGATGTAGGGCATTAAAGGGAACAGTTTCCCCACTTTTTCCATTATATATTAGCATTTCTTGTATTTCTGACAAGAAACAGGATGCATTAAGCACACCATGAGCAAGCAGAGGAACATAACTGCTGCTGCTGAAAGTGCCTGAGTAAGAGCCTAAAGGAGATCAAGTATGGCAGTTTTTCAAAATAAAGAAGTTGCAGTGCTTTAAAGTATCACAGTGGAATTTGAGTTTTGAAGAATTTACTCATATAAAATACTGTTATCTCTCTCCCACCTGATCACTCAAAATAGTAAAATGCATGATGATCCATAGTTTTTTGTTATTTTTATTATTGCTAACTGGTCTAGTCCTTACAATAGGAAAAGTTGAGCTTTTCTCCAAAGAATAAAATGTGTGCTTATTTTATAAAAATGGTCCATAGTACATGTGATACTGTCAAATTAATTTCTGTTAAAATAGGGCCAAATATGGGAAAGTGACTTTTAATGCAAGTCTGACACAACTGCAATAAATCACCTGTAGTCAAAAGTGGTGAAAGGAAACTCACCTGAATTTTTTTGGCATATGTAGCTTTTGCTTGTTTTACATTCTTCATCTTTCCATTTCCCTGCCTGTTCAATAGGATTCTTCATCATAAAGACACAATCATCCTACAGAGGAAATGGGATTAACAGGAAAAAGATGTGACTAAACAGGAAACATTTCTTCTCTGTCTGAGTATACAGAGCCAACAATCACACACAGATGTGTGACATGAAGGTCATGTATATGAACTCACACAAGCAATGGTCGGGAGCAGTAATATGACAATAAGCATTTACAACTCAGCCCTAGGAAAGTTTGTGCTTGGATGATGGAGAGAGTTGCAAAGCACAGCAGAGAGGCAGGAGGAGGTGTCTGGATCTGTCTGTACGTATATAACCTCTGTGCATGCCCGTGTACGTGCATGCAGCTATAGATGTTTGTATGCTATGTCTGGCACCCAGGACATTTCAGCTCTGTTGCTGTGTCCTGGGAGGTCATGGGGAAACTCTCATCAGCACTGAAGCTTGCCTGGAGAGCTGACATCCTCTTCCTGCCCCAGTTTGGCACTAGGAGCCAAAGCTGTCACCACAATGCAGTATTGTAGTGGTAGTGATCAGAAACAACATTTAGTGGCAGACACCTCCTAAACCCTTTCCACTGCAGTTTGGGCTCTTTACCTTCCTCCTTCTCCTCCCATAGCATGAGAAACTGCTGCTTGGCTTTCTGCAGCAAGATGCAACGGCTCTCCCCACCTCTCATCAGTCTAATATCTTGTTACCTCTAAATCCCCTTGGGGGCATTAGCCCAGGTCTTGTTTGCATGTGAAGGAAGTCCCACTTGCAGGGAAATGGGCATAGCTTTCTAGAGAATACATTTGCATGAGACATGGAAGTCCTGGAGATCCCAAAAGCCAGGTCTAGTGTAGATGGCAGCAGAGGTTGGACATCACAGAACTTTCACCCATTTTAGCTGAAGTCAAAGTAATTTTGTTATGAAAAAGACAGAAATTTGGTAAAGCTAGCACAGGAGTACAGAAATAGTACTATTAAGGACTATTCTACATTAGCCATTCTACAATTATTGAACAAAACTCAGTTTTGTCTTGCAGTTAAATACAAAGTGGTACGGCAGTGCTGAAAGTGTCAAAGCATTTAGAAGAGCTGTTTCAGAAGGAAGATTAGAGGGAGAAGATAAAAATGAGAAAGGAAGAGACAGACTCTTTTGAGGATTTAATTCAATGAATTTATCTTATTAAGCTCAGCACCAAGAAACATGAATATACAGTTATCTGAGCAGTTTCAAGTCTAAATAACATTCACTGTATCCCAAAATTGTACAGTTATTGCTGTATGTTTTATTTGAATCTCCTGCTCAGTCATAGTAAAGAGAGGGAAGATGGTCACTGGTCTGACCTTAGCACAATGCTTCCAAACCTTTGTCTGGATTCATAAAGAATCACGACAAAACACAGAAGCTGAAAAAAAATGTGGGAAGGTACATGTACCTGTGGTAGATCTCCCACATGAGTACTCTGCATTTAAAGGCAACAACATCACTAAAAAACTTTGTAAAGAAAACGTTACAGAAAATACAGTTGTAGATACTGACTTTTTATTAATCTAGCAAAGTTATGTTTAAATGATAATCAGAAATTAATGTTTACCTTACTATAATAACTTCGGGAACCTTTTGCCCAATTTGTATAGTAAACTGGGCTTCCATCTGTCCATAAGTATGTGTGCTCCTGATTTATGTCATTCAGCCCAATCCAAGCATCAGTTGCAGCATTTTTTAAGAGGGACATGAGGGAAGCTGAAGGGAAAAAAGGAAAAATTGTACAAGGAGAAAAACAATACATCTTTTCCCAACAGTGTAGACACTAGAGTGCCTGCAACCAGGATGATAATTTTTAGGTTTCTCTTTTTAATGAGGTGCTAATCTTATGGTAAAAATTAAAATAATAATAATCTGATATTAAAGTCAGGAAAAGTATTTACGAACTCAAAGATGGGCAAATTTTGATACATAAAATTGTTTTTAATATTTTTAAAGGAATTTGTGTACACTTTTCTGTGTTGTTCATCTGAGGAAGCAAGGAAAAGGTATTAACAGTAATACAGAAATTAACATGAGTACACTAAACTTTGGCACCCAGAAAATGAGTGTAAACTCCTGTGCACTCCCTTTACTTCTCTGGTAACTTCTTTGTTAACCAGACTTTAATAACTTCATTTCTAAACAGGTATAACACCAATAAAACTACTCAATAACCAAGTATATATGTGCTGAGAACTTGGCTTTTTGGAAGGCCAATTGTTTTTTCCCTTAGCTCTTGCCTAGACTGACTTTCCACTGAATGTACTACATCCACTGATATAGAATAAGTTCTTAAAACCAAACCACCAATAGAGTGAGCTACACAATGAACTGTGTGCAGCCCTCAGGACCTGAGGCATTACATTTCCTGGGCAAACATGAGGCTTTACTAAATTCCTGTAATGTGCTGAACAAGACTAGCACCCTGAGGTCCAGCAGAGCAAAGAACACAGGAGGAAGTTGGGACTCCAGCCTTGGAGTCTTCTGCTGTCTGAGAATGTGTTCTCCACTGACACCCACAGCATTTGGCTCAGCAGCTAGATGCATGGTGATTTGTTTTGGATATTACTCCCTCTGTGATGCTATTTTTACATGAATACTTAAAATAAAATGTGGACATTCTATTATATGACAAACTCCTAATACAAAATCTTACTATTTGAACAGTATGAATACCTCTGTATGTCCTATACTAATCCTAAATCTACAATTTTGAAAGTTAATCAAGACACTAAAAGCTATGCAAGAATTTTTCCAAAGATTCAGTTTCTCATTCAACATAACTTTATATTAATAAGGCATAAATAATAGCATACATTGAAGAAGATATAACATCTGTTTTAATTTGTATCATGAATTATTGATGTCTCATCCAGTATCAATGTATTGGTACTTTATACCTTGTGTTTCCTTTTTTGTTATAGTGGCCAGGTTTCCTCCCAAATTAATGCAATTGTTCCGTGCAGCATGCCACGTCAATGTATCATTTTCATTAAGGCCAAATACTATGAAACACTGAAAAAGAGAAGTGTACCAAATCTGTAACTAGAGGGGGGTTTAATTTCTGGTGAAAGCAACACTATTTGTAACAAACAAGATAAACTGGATATTTTAAGCAAAAAGGGAGATTATCTGATTTAACAGTCTTTTCTAGCTCGTCTTTATGAAAAAGATCTATACTAGAATACTAGTATAAACCCCAATATTTTAACCTACTTTCAGAAGAAGGGATATGTCAATCTAATGATTTCAGTAGAAATTATTTAAAGCTTCTGAACCCACTTCTAAGATGTGACTTTGTGGGAGGTATGCCTAAAAACACCCTAGAAAACAAATAAATATAAGATATGTTATTGAAGCTAAACATTCAAGTTGCCCTGCTTGTCAAACCAGGTTTGGTTCTCACAGGATAATCACAGAAAGAGAATATTTCTGATATGACAAAGAAAACCACGAATTTGACATTTCTTGTAATATGATCTATGAGATTTAACCAAGATGTCATTAGACAGTTTTGTCCGAGTCAAGCAACCCAAATGTACCAATTAAAACACACAACTGAAAAGTTAGGCAGTTTGTGGAAAAAGTTATGGAAAAGGGAGGTAGTTCCATGACAATCAGAAGTGATGTGTCAACACTTGGAGAGGAGCTAGAGGAGGAGCCTTTGGAAGCAGCTCTTCCAGGAGGTGAGGAGGTTTTATCTTGAGAGAACCATGAAAGTGAACAAACAGTTTGTGACTCTTTTCCCCAGGACTGAGAAAGGGAAGGAAAGAGGAGACAGGTGCTGGTGGATTTCAAACAATGAAGCACTGTCAAACTAAAATCATATCTTGGCTTAGCCAAAAGAAAGGTAAGTGGAGCTAGATAGAGCAATGTCGTCAAGGATCATCCTCATTTCTAGGTGTATTCTCAACAGTGTACACTATCGTTTTACAGGTTTTATACCTTTGTTGATAATGGTTTATGGATTTTAAATACATAGTCTCTTACCCTGAACTTTTGTATTTTGAGAAGGCTAAAAGTCATCTTATTTAATAAAGTGTGGTGAAGCTTATAATCGGATAATTTTAAAACCTTAAAAGGTGTTTAGTTATAGAAAAAAAAACTGATAAAGTTGCTCAAGGAAAGGTGCCTTAGTGGCTTAAGAGCTAGTGCATAGTAAGCAAGGGATGAATAAGTGTCCAGGCAACCTGTGACAGCCAGATACGCTCAGTACAATAAACAGGAAAGTACAACAGCTCCACATAAGGAAAGTTGTTCAGCCACACTTGGCACCACAAAACACTAACAAAAATGTAAGAAGCAGCTTTCTTCTTGTACATCTCATAACTAACTGCTGTGATCCCAATAGAGGCTATAATTCTAATTTCAGTAATTCTATTTTTAGAGTCTTTAAATATGCATAATCAGAATATATTTTGTGATAACTGAAAGCCCTGCTACAACTGAAAAACTGAATTAAAGGTGGTTTTCATTCTACTCTTTTTAAAATACCATCTATTGACATTTCATACTGCACCTTGTTATCAACGAGGAGCCAGTCTTCTGAACACCCACCCTTTGGTGGTGCTGTAGTGGGAGCAACAGTTGGACGAACAGAATTGTTAAGCCTTTCGCAGATGAATAACTCAACGCTGCCACAGTTGAGATCATTCCATGTACCTGAAAGTAAATTAAAGAAAAACAAAACACAGCTGAGACTGGGATAAATAAACGTCCTTTCCTAATGTAAATCTATCATAGGAATTAGAACTGATTGCAGCTAATTTCTCTCCCCTATAAATAATGAGTAATTTTATTGTATGTTGATGAGAAATATTTCGGTTTCCAGCAATATCCAGAATATTAATATTTTGTCTGAGAACAGAAGGATTTCAATATTTCAAAACTGTATCATTGCCAAAGGGGAGTTTTAGTTTGAATGCTTAATTCACCTCTCTAAGATCTGTAAGATCTGTAGGATCACTGTCTATATAAAGATACTCAGTCTTTGTTACCTTACTACCTGAGCTTCTCGCAGTCCTGTAGTGTTCTTGGTAACTTTTCTCCCTATAGGAGTGTGATGTAAGAACATAAGATTTCACATCATTGTCCCCATTTTACAGATCAGCAATGAAAAAGAAAATTAGATTCATTTCATTAGCTGCAGGCAGTTACAGGGTAATTATCTACAGCAGAGCTAATCACACTGGAGGCTCAATGAAGATATTGTCATAATTCTGTGAAATTAAGAACATAATTTGTCTTTTCTTAAAAGATCTCCAAAACAGGACATAATATTTACTACTCAAAAGTGTTCACTTCCTTCTACTGACATCGAACAGAGACTGGGAAGATTACCTCAGCTCTAGATTTTGAGACTAGAAATGTTTAAAAGTAGAAGAGATTAGCTGCTCCAAAGACTAAGTGCTTGGCTAGTGTAACCACAGTTACTCCCAGCTCACTGTATTAAAGGATATATGTATTTATTTTAATTAAAATAGTGTATAGCATTGTTTAGTAATAACCAAAGCTATGCCCAAGCATTAGATTTTTAGTAGTCATGAAATGGAGACAAATTAGAGGAAAAACAATACTGACTCTATCTGCAAGTTGTCTGATGATTAGCTGATTTTTTCACATTGAAATCTTCTGAAAACGCTAGGAATCAAATTGCAGATGTAATCCAATGTGCTAGTTACATAGAGATGATTTTTTTTTTTTTAAGTTCATAAATGAAAGAAGAGAATACGATTTACTTTTCTATGCTTTTTAAACACTCTATCAAACATCAGCCGGGTGCGTATTATAACTCACCAAGCCTTGCACATGCTGCCCTCCCAAGCCTATGCCACACCACGTAGACTGCGTGTTGTTACAGGACCTACCTGTTTGGGTATACATGACCACACAGTTTTCATCATTATTTGCAAAATTTGGTTCATTTGGAGCCCAAGCAACATAGTTCACTGGAGTTCCATCCATCCACCTGAAAGAAGGAATTTGGAGGAATAATAATTTTTCTTTGAATTAGTTAATATTTCTTTGTAAAGGACATATTAGAGCTTTCTATTTTGTTTCCTATATCCTACCTTACAAAAACATGATGTTCTCTGGTAAAAGAAAAGCAAGACCTTCCACATCAAATTAGTAAAAAGTATTTTTATATCAACTTCCTTGTCTGACCTGCACCAGGTCTGCACTAATCATCTCAACTTGCCATCCCAGCCTTTTTTGATCTCTGAGCATACATGGTATGCAGGTAACACACCAGTATAGCACTGGATCTGGCTTTCCCTGGAGCACAGAAGCAGAACCTGAGCCTATTTTAGTAATTTCCTGGGTCCAAAAGCCCTAATATAAGAACTTGTAGGGTAGAGAGAGCCTTGAACCACATATTGAGGACAACTTAGAACCATTTTGCTAAACAAATGAGATCTTTAATATTATACAGCTATTGCTTTCAGTTGTGCAACAATTGTTTCCTAGTTTGGTGATTCACAAATTTATTCTCAAAGAGTGGCCAGGAAAAAAGTGGAAAAGCCTCAGTGTGCTGGAAGGAGGAAAGTCGAGCAGGGAATCTCCCAAGATGGAAAGCCTTCAGGCAACATCTCCTTCAGGGTAATTTAGTGTTTGGTTTGATTTGTTTTGTAGGCTAAGCAACTGTATGCATGTTTTTGCAACTAAACTATAAATAAGGAATTCAACAGGATGCTTAGCTGCTTCCACTTGCATATCTCCTGAGCCAAATAGGAAAAAAACAATACATAGCACACTGGGAGAAATAATATAAAGACAAATAGCAGCACCATCACAGAGCAGGAAGAAGCATGAAACTAGTGGAGAAGAAAGGGAGAACTGGACAAACAACAGTGATTTCTGAGCAGTGAATGTGATGTAGGAAGCAGGACCTCCAGGAAATGAAGCTATCCAGTCTCTGTGGCTTGTGTTTGTGACTCATCTAAGGCTCCAGGCAAGGTTTAGGACATTCCAAGGATGCTGTTTCCAAAGACATTTGTAGAAGAGTAATGACTCTGTGTAGCCTGAAGCTGACCTGCCCTGAACACTGACAGTATAACCATCTGGAAATTACTTTCAAGACAAGAGCTCTCCAGTACTGACATTATTTCACCTCTAAAAACCACCACAATCCCTCTCACTGCAGGTTTTGAGCATTCTTTTTCTTTGATCATTTGAATATTCAGTAATGTCTGCAAGTACCATCTGAAACATCCTGGAGATCTCCAACCAGTTTTATCTTTCATAAAGGGGATGACACCACTCTGACTCAGTGAACACCTCAGCCTCACAATACAAAAGCAGAGTATAGAATCAAAAGAAGGGGAAATAAACAGCAAAAATGTTATGGGAGAAGTGTTCCCCTGAGGAGTAGAATTGAGTTTTAAAACTTTATGTCAAGACATGGCTGTAGACAGATTGCATCAGTCATTGAACTTCAACAGTCTCTTAAAGACAGGCAAACCAAATACTCATAAGTCTGGAAAACTTAATTTGGTTTTACTTACCGGAATGTCTTGTCAAGACTCACACTTAAGCCAATATAAAAGTTATTTCCCCAGTCTTTATAAAAAGTCTAGAACACACAAAAGAATAGAATTTTAATGAGCTGTAAGAAAACAGATTTCAAATAAAACAAGCAAGCTCACAAAACTCACTTTATTTTCAGTTGTGGAACTGCATAGTATGCAATGTGCAAGGAGTTGCTGCGATTATGTGCCTGAACCACAAAAGGAAAACATTTTCCTCTAATTACCAGTGTTTAATGTTTATTGGGTTTTTTTGTTTTTTTTTTTTTTTAAGCAGATAGGCTAAAAAAGAAATGGAGCAAAAAACCATGTGAAGATGATAAGCATGACCTCTTAAACAGGCTATAAAATAAAGCAATATTAAAGAGTTTTATGAAAGCATAGTGAGAATTTGCCAAAAGGCTACAAACAGGTGGTGGGGATCAGTACTTAATTGTGTGGAGGGAAAGATGGAACCATGTTTGGTTTTAATAGTATGAAACTACTTCCAAATGAGTATACACTCATCATGTTATTCTCTTCCTATCAGATAATATTTTGGCTTAAACCTTCTACTGAAAATATGAAAACTGTTTTAACAAAAACAAGGTGAAAGCTTTTCTCGAATTCCGTGAAAAGAATGAACTGGAAAACAAAACACACTCATCAACTGTAGTTTTCAGCTAAACAAGAGCAAGGTTTTTGTAAGTTGCACCTGGACAGTGCTATTGAGAAGAAGCAGAGGATTTGCCTACATGTAGCAATTTATCAGAACAGTTATTATGGCAAAGCTCCTAAACAGATATAGACTCATGAAAGGTGGCATGGATTATTTTAATGATGGGGACCACTTTCTAATGCTTCACAAACCAGGTGAAAAAGGTACTTCAGTGCAGGATAGAACAGTGCATTTTAGAAGAAAAACATATTTCTTACGTATTTCCAAAGAAAATTTTTTTCACTTTCAGTCTCAATGACAGCCAGATCACCACCATGCTTCTTGCAAAAGTCCCTGGCTTTTTCCTCAGGCATTGCTTCCTCGCTGAAATAGTATTCCTTGTGATTATATATTATCCAGTCATCTTCTGTAACAATATATTCATAATCTGCAACAAAAATGATATAAGCAGTCTGTAACAGAAATTAACATCAGCATAGTTTAATTTATTTCTGTAATTTGGAGTATAAGACTTACTGAATGTGGAAGTAGGCTCTGGTTTTAGTGTTGCTCCTGCAATGTAAATCACAATATCTGAGTATATTAGAATATCTTTCAATTAAACGTATTTATACAGTTATTAGCATTTTAATTCCAAGGAATAAAATTAATGTTAAGGGTTACACGATGTTTATTTTTGTTACAGAATTTCTGGAATATCTAGAAAAAAGGTGCGACGCTCAGCAAAATACTATGTTAAGCACTGATCACAAGTTAAGCTTACAGAAACTCTGTGGAAATTTAGGCTGCTGGATTTCACTTAGTCGACATGTTGCATATACATCCCAAACTTCACATGTATCTCATGGATGAATTTATAGTTTTCAACTGCTTTTGTTTACATTGAAGTGTATTAAATGTTTCATGGTTCTTGATGGCACAGCTGGCAGGTGTGTGATTTGACCTGGAAAGCTGCCCAAGGAAGAAAGTCATCCTACCTTTTTTTATTTGGCAAACATAGTCCTGCATATGTTCACAATATAAATCATTCCATTTCATATTAGTGTAGGCATTAAACACACCACATTTTTCATTTCCATCATAATTGTTTGGTTCTCCACTGGCCCATTTTTCAAAATTTACCTGTAGTAGAAGCACAGCTTTATTACTATTTTTCTTCTAAACTGAAACAATTATTTTATATCATCCTGTTAAAGAAAAATGTACTTGATTTGATTTCATGGTCTCTCTTGTACTTTGGTGTTGGACCTTGTAAGGAGAAGGACATGACCCTTGCATAGCATAATGATTCATCTGTGTATTTATACATCATGTTAGTAAGCCGAGAAAGTTGTTGCCCTCTGTTATGAGGAGAGATAAAGTTCTCCTGTCAAGCTCCCTAGAAAGAAGTATCTAAGTAACTTTGACTGCCCCCTGGGTCAGTTATTCTGCTCTGATGTTTCAACCTGAGACAATCCATCAGTGCTGAGATATGGACTTGAGTCTTGCAGACCTTGATCTACTTAAGACAGCAAGGGCAACAAAGCCTAGCTTGTGTAGATGTACAAAGTTATTCCTAACAGTAATTGACAAATGAGAATATAGATATTAGAAGAACCACATTTACTTAGACCAGGAGAGATATTCCATCACCTTTGATACTATTTCATTACTCTGAATGTCATACTGTCATCTGTAAGTACAAACTATCAAAAGATAAAAATAATTCCTAGAGTGGTATTGGGTAGTAAAGACTTAAACTCACTTGTGGCTCCTATAGAAGGAGTTGTGAGAGCTGCCTGCCAAGATATATACGGAAAATTAGACAAAAAGCTGGAACAGTAAATTATTTACTCACTGGTGAGCCATCACTCCACACAAATCCCCCATCAGAGTCCAAGGCACTTAAACCCATCCAGTAAGATACATGAAGATAATCTCTCCTTCTGAATGATTACATATACAGACAATCAGACACAGTGTGGAATAGAAGAAGAGAATGTATATCATTACATTTTTCTCAATGTTTTGATGCTTGAGGTATCATTTGAGACAGTTATATAAACTAATCCTTCCATTTTCATGGGGGGAAAAACATCCTGGCACTGCATGTGGCAGGAAGCAGTAAAACACAGAGCTTCAGGCAAAAGGTCACAGGTATCATGATTCCACAAATACTGAGTTAAAATATATTTTACGGTCTTGCTTCCACCAAGAAGCTTAGGCATCCAGATCTGTCAGGACTCATAGGCTTAACTTAAACATTTATAACCTAAACATTTATAAAAGAACAATAGGTCAAGCTTTCCTTAGTCTCCCAATTTTTCCCCTTAACTAAGTGAAGCAGCACAAACTATTCCTTTGATCAAGAGTATTCCATCTACTGATCAACTATGAATGAGCCAAAAAAATAATTCTCTCTTTGAACTAAACTCAATCAAAACTATTTTTGATAAACCTTCTTTTGTTTTCCTGTATGTTCCAGCTACTTCAATGCATAATGCCACCTTCCCAGAGGCCTGCCAAGAAACCCTTTTGCTCATCTCTTTCTACCCACTTCCTTTTGCCACTTTGCAAGGATATACACCACCTTTGCAAAGTAGAAATTGATTGCCATAAATCCTTTATGACTTTCAGAAAGGTATTTTTTTTAAAATGTTTGGTGTTTTCCTATATTTAAATGATGAACTGTGTAGATACTTACAAGTCAGCTATTAGATTTTGTTCTTCTTCACTGTGGATACTTGCCAGATCTCCTCCGATGGCTCTGCAAAAATCTCTTGCACCAAACCACGTCTGCATTTTCTCCCTTCCTCCCTGAAAAATCTATTAAAAGTGGAGAATTAGATACTGTGGTGGGTATCACAGAAATTTAGAAAAAGAATTCAGGGCTTCTGTCTTTCTTCTGATCTCTAGTTCTATGACTTAGCATTTAATTGTGCAAACATAAGCCTGTGGCCATCTATCAGATTTTGATTATTTTGTTTTTCCTGTCATCTGGAGTCCCTGTGACCCCAAACTTCAGTTCAACTTACATACAGCACTTGCCATCACTTCCCAGCCACACCAACTTAGAATGGCTGGAGAGCTATTACTACAGATTACCTATACAGTAGGCAGGGTAAAATCCACCTTCCATGCATACACAGAACATATTCTCATTTGAAAAGATGGATGTTTGCATACAGAAATTAAACACCTACTTTGAAGCAGGCGCTGCTGTGAGAAATGGATTTCCATCCTTCTGGGCATGATGGGAGAGGGGTCGTAGTTGGAGGAGGTGGGGGAGTCACTCCCTCCACCAGCTGCTTGCAGAGAAACATGTTTGTTTCTTCACACTTCAAAACTTCCCATAATCCAACTGAAGCTCCTGTGTTCATGGCCACGCAACCGGACTCCCTTCCTTCAAGAAGCATAGAATTTTTAAACCTTATTGATAAATGGGTGCAACTTCTCAAAGTATACGCTGCTTGTCCAAGAGTAACTTGTCCCCACTGTGTTTGGATATCAATAACTCACGGCAGATCACACACATTTCAATTAAATCATAAAAAGAAATTTTATCAAATTCCTTTTACATTTAGCTGTGAATCAATTATCAAACCCCTCAAACAACAGAGAGCAAATGATGCCAACATATTCCAGGTGTTCTACCAGAAGGAGTTACTACGATCCCAAATTTAATCCCTTTAGCACAAATGTAAAGTTCACTGTCCACAGCTTTACACCAGAAGAGTTTCTAAACTTCTTTTTAGCTTTCAAACCCTCACTTCCTAGGTCCTCAGGCCAGAAGATCAGT